AGAATTGGTTGCTGTGATAGTTAATTTTATGTGTCAACTTGGCTGGGCTAAGGGATACCCAGATAAATGGTCAACTATTATGTCTGGGTGCATCCGTGAAGGTGTTTCTGGAAGAGATGAATGCGTAAATTGGTGAACTTAGAGAAGAAGACCCGCCCTCCCACTATGGCGGGCAGCGTGGCCTGCGTGGAACAAAGGCAGCGGAAGGGTGAGTGCTTTCTCTCTCCTTGAGCTGGGACATCCACCCTCCCTGCCCACAGACATTAGAGCTCCTGGTTCTCAGGCCTTTGGATTCCAGGACTTGCACCAGTGTCCCCTCCATGTCCTCCCAGATCTCAGGCTCCAGCCCAAGGCTGGGGTGTCCACCATCAGTTCCGTTGCTGCTCAGGCTCGAACTCAGCTGAGCCACCCACCAGCCTTCCCAGGTCTCCCGCCTGCAGAAGGGAGAGCTGCCTAATTGTGTGAGTCAATTCCTCCTGGTGAACCTCCCCACATACCTTTCTATACATCCTACTGCTTCTTTTTTCCTGGAGAACTCTGACTAATACAGTTGGTGTTTGGAAAAACCAAGCAATTGCCTTTCATGACCTGATGTGGACGTCCCATGACATCACTTTCATTGTCCTCTGTTGGCCAAGGCTGGAATAAAGATCTGCCCACGTTCACGGGGAAAGGACCCAGACCCCGCCCTTGGGGGTGTGGTGAGGTCACACTGCAGTGAGGACAGGAGGTTACAATGCCCTCTGGAAAATGCGATGTGCTGCTGTGGTGAAATGGTGACTTGGCTATAGCCACGCTCTGGACCACAGACATCTGGGGACAAGCCCCATAGCCAGCTGATGGACACATGGGCTGTTTGAGTTTGGGATGATTATGAATGAGGCCAGAGTAAATATTTGTGTGCACATCTTTCATTTAGACCTGATGTCACCTGCATACACAGATGCAGGCCATTGTCTTGGTTCTCTCATCCTCCTTAACTTGGAGACAAAGCTGTCACTGAGTTCTTCACAGGAGTCTAATGAATGCTCTCGAAGCACTGACCTAGTGACCAGCACACAAAAGCAATTCAACATGGGCAGCTATTGGTATCTGGGCTGCTGTTGTTGGGGATGAGGGGCAGGATGGCTGTCACGCCATGACTTGCATTTTCCTAGAGCAGGTGTTTCAACCACAGCACTTGGTTGGGCAGTTCTTTCTTGCTGGGGCTGTCCTGGACATTGCACAGTGTTCAGCCGCATCCACCTGCTACCACATGCCTGTAGCAACTCCCCGCAAAGAAAATAAAAATTATTCTGTGATGCTCGTTAAAGTAGGAAGGCAGACTTCACTCAAGGGGGGGGTCTGTCTCAGTAGGTACACAGGGGACTACTGCAGTGGGGTTTTGTAGTGAGGGGGAGAGATCAGGCTCAACTCTACCCTGAACACAGCACAGGCAAGCAGAATTCACAGCCTAGGAGCAGGTCAGTGGATGGAAAATGACCAAGAGGAAACATCTGGGGCCAGGTAGGGTTCTGGCTAAACTGACCTAACAGGACCCTTGCTGATGGTAGGCTGGGGTGACCAGACACCATCCTGGGGGTGGAGGGTATCTCAGGCATCTAGGCTGCTGTAACAAAGTATTTTAAAATGGGTAATTTATAAACAATAGAAGTTTATTGCTCACAGTCCTGGAGGCTGGGAAGTCCAACATCAAGGTGCAAGCAGATTTGTTGCCTGGTAAGCACCTGTTTTCTGTAGGTGGCACTTTCTTACTGAACCCTCACATGGTGGGAGGGGGTAAGGGGCTCCATCAAAACGTATTTATTTTAGAGACAATGTCATGCTCTGTTACCCAGGCTGGAGTACAATGGCACAATCATAGCTCACTGTAACATCAAATTCCTGGGCTCAAGAGATCCTCCTGCCTCAGCCTCTCAAAGTGATAGGATCCAAGTGTGAGCCACTGTGCTTAGCCATAAATTTTATTTTTTATTGTGGTAAAATACACATAATGTAAAATTTACTATTTTAATCATTTTAAAGTGTCCAGTTCAGTGGCATTTAGGACATTCACATTGTACAACCATCGGCAATAATCCATCTCCAAAACCTTTTCATCATTTAATGACTTCTTTTTAAAAATTTTAAATTCTTGGCTGGGTGTGGTGGCTCACGCTTATAATTCTAGCACTCTGGGTGGCTGAGGTGGGCAGATCATTTGAGCTCAGGAGTTTCAGACCAGCCTGAGCAAGAGTGAGGTCACGTCTCTACTAAAAAAATAGAAAGAAATTAGCTGGACAACTAAAAGTAAAATATATATATATATATAAATTAGCCGGGCATGGTGGCGCATACCTGTAGTCCCAGCTACTGGGGAGGCTGAAGTAGAAGGATCGCTTGAGCCAGGAGTTTGAGGTTGCTGTGAGCTAGGCTGACACCATGGCACTCTAGCCTGGGCAACAGAGTAAGACTCTGTCTCAAAAAAAAAAATTAAATTCTGGATCCATTTTAAATGTATACTGGTATATGTGTGGATACAGTGTGGAGCCAACTTTAACTTTTTTCTAGTTATCAAGTGGTCCTGATGGCATATATTAAAAAGCCCACATTCACCACACTGTGTTAAGCCCATTTTAAAATTCAAAAAGTGAGCATGAAAAATCTGTTGTCGGGTTAGAGAAACGACACTATGGAAAACTGAACAATCCCTACCTCTAAGCCAGAGTCCTGCCACTGAGGACAGCGGGAGACACCTGGGGGTGTCATTTTGGAAACATCCCGAAAGGCGGGGCCAGTGGCTGCTGCTGCTGGGATTGGTTCATTGGCAGTCGCTGCTGCTGAGGTCATCATGGGCATCAGTGGGACTGGGTTGGGAGAGCATTTGGGAGCAGGACAGTGCAGGAGGGAGCCCACGTTCTCCATGGCAAGAGGTCACAGGGGCCACTTCACAAACACCAAGCCAGGCCGTGGCTAAGGACTTGCTCCTGTAGGGGCCCAGGATACGAGTGCCTTGTAAGTGCCTGAGCCCGGGAAAACAGACTTTCCAAGACCCCTGGGCAGACTCTGTTCCTCTCCAGCCTGGCCGTGTGGCCTCTTTGTCCCCATTCAGGTGAGGGTATGGCTTCATTAGAGAGTTCTGGGAGCAGGTCCAGAAATACACCCAGAGCCTCGCCCTCCCATCCAACTGATTCTGAATGGGTCACCTCCCCAGCCGTCCACCGGTGACAGGAAGAGGAGGTGGCTCCTCAGGGGCTGGCCCCTGACTCCTTGGCCAAGTGTGCCCTAACCCTGATGTGGCCCTGCCTTTGCTGGGCCTGTATGTCCCCATGGCAACCATGAGGGGGGCTTTACATGGTGGCCTGTGTGCCCCCTCAACACCAAGGCTGTGGTCAATAGCCACTTGTCTTGTCACGATTTTTATTGTTTTTATTTTTTTCCTAACAACCAAACAATGTGGGAACTGTTTTCATCTTGTCTTTCATAAAGAGGAAAAATAATTCTTGTTACCCATTTCTTGGTCAAACACTGGAAACAGAGGAGGGGGCCGGTCAGTGGGACCTTCCAGGCGTCCCTCCTTATTTGCGGGGCCCCCTGCCCTGCTCAGTGGGCGGTGCGACCCTGCCCGTTCACCCCTCTCCAACCCCCTCCTCCGGGACAAACCGCATGCCCTGTGGCCTGGCCGAGATTCCCAAAGCACTGTTACCAGGAAGCAAACTCCCGCCCTCCGCACGCGCAGCGCCCTGCGCCCCCAGCAGACTCTCTGGAACCGCCGTGGAAGACGCAGCCCCAGTTGCACGTGTGGCCTGCGCAGCCTGGGGCGCAAGCACGGGTGCCTCCGGCGGGCCCAGCACGCGGCCCCTCGCAACACCTGTGTAGACGCGAGCCTAGGTGGAGGTTCCCAGTCTTTACAGGTGGGCACGGCGGGCGCTGGCCCCGCCCGGGCGGAGGGGGCGGAGCCTAGCTGAGGGGCGGGGCGAGGCGTGACCGCCCAGAGGGCGTGGCCGGCGGAGCCCGGAGGGGGCGGGGCGGAGGCGGGAGTGGGCGTGACCGACATGGCCTGCCGGGTGGGCGGGGCGGCCCCTGGGGTGTGGCATGGCTGGCGGCGTGGGCGTGGCGAGCTGGCGGTGTGGGCGTGGCCCTCGGCGTGGGCGTGGTGTGGCCGGCGGCGGGGGCGGGGTGGGGCGGGGCCGGCGTGACGCGCGCCGACGCGATCCCGGAAGCGGAGTCAGATGCTGGGGAGCCCGGCGGGCGCGCTGGCGGGCGGGGGGACTTGTTGTTCTTCGCGAAGTCGGAGCCGGAGCGCCAGGCGGCGGCGGCGGCCCAGGGGCGGCGCGAGGGTGAGCGCGAGCGCGAGGAGAGCGCGTGCCCGCGAGGAGCCGCCGCGCGCGCCCGCGCCCCACGCGCGACGCCAGGTGAGCAGCGGCCGGCCTGGGCCGGGGCCGCGGGGCCGCTGAGTCACGGCCGCCTGGGCGCGGGCTGGGCTGGGTCGACGCGCCCGGGACCCCCCCCTTCCTCTGCGCACCTGCCCAGGTGGGCCGCGCCGGGGTTCTCTCGCCCCGCCCCTGAACGTGTGGCGCGGCCCGCCAGGCGCCCACCCCAGACCCGCGGCCGGGAGTGCGGGGCGCGGCGCCACGTGCCGGGAGCGCGGAGGGGCCTGGGCCGTCTGCACCTCGCCGCTTCCGCCCCGCGCTTCCGCGGCGGAGCCGGGCCTGCCCTCCTGCGTCCCGCCATGGCGGGAGCCGCTCCCGCCCAGGGGCAGGGTCCACGCCGCGCCGCGGAACGAGCGGGTCCACGCGCCCTCCGCGGAGGCGAGGGGCCGGGCTCAGGGTCCCGCGGGGTCGAGCTGCGCGGGCACCGGAAGCCGTGGGTGGGGAGGCGGCAGGTGACAGTCTTGGCGGCCCGTGTCACTTGGCTCACGTGTGGCCAGGATGAGGGCTCCTCCAGCTCTGACCGTGTCAGTTGTTTGAGCTCTGTCAAGTTCAGGAAACGCGCGCGAGGTGTGTTTCTGCACAGTCTCTGGGGCTGGGAGCTTGTGCTCCTGGCTCTGACTTGGGTCCACTTTGGGAGAAGCATGTGGTCCTGCCCTGCCCACGTGTCGCGGAGTCTCCTGACTGCTGCTAGACTCCCCCAGTCCGTGGAGCAGCCTCTTTGTGTCTCTGTTAATGATTAGGGTGGCTTACTCTCCATGCACTCCTGTAGCCCAGGCAGAATCGGATCCACTAACCATCCATTCTGCAATGGACCGACAGACTGCTCCAGAGACCCCGAAACTGCCACATGACATGCCTGATAGAAATCTGTGTGGCTTGGCTTGAACTCAGCTCTTCCCTCCCCTTTGATTGACCAGGGTGGGCTTTGGGAATCTCTCGACTGGGGAGGCTCTGCTGTGGCAGCAGCGCTGTGAAGCTGTCTCCATAGGGTGCAGGCCTGGGCTGCCATGCCGCTGCAGCTGCGCTCAGCAAACCCGAAGTTTCCAGGGATGTGGAGCTTTAGAAAAGGTGTTAGTCTACGCAGGTGGGTGGGGTCTAGAAAGGTGTAGGTGGGCCGTGCAGGTGCATGGGACACAGCTACAGCCCATTACGTTGTAGGCATCCAACACTATTTATGAGAACTTCCCTTCTTAGGTAACCCAATAGGAATGTCTGGGAGTTTGACCTTTTAGAGGGAGTCAACTTTTATAACTTAAAACTAGACCTCTCATTGTTCCAGAATAAAACATTTATTAAAGCAAAAACCAAACCCGGCTTCTCTGGAGCACAGTTGCCATTTGCACTTGAACTTAGCTTGGGTTTGGAGGGACCAGTTCCAAGTTTAGTATTGCTTACTTCCCAGGTGGTTGCTAGAATCAGGAGTTGGAAGAGGGGACTCATAGAAGGCGGCTCCTACGAGGGTCCAGCCCTTTCTCCAGCCCCTGTGAGGCCACTGTTGGGTAAGACGTTTTCCTGGCCATTCCTTGTCCTCTGAGGTGCGTGCTTTTGCTCTCGGAGCTGTGTGAGGGCCGGAGGGTTTGTTTACAATCTCAGAGCTGTTTGCCATCCGGCCCTAGAAGAAGTTATGCCTGTTTCTGTCCCGGCCGTTTGTGAGTCTAAAGGTTTCAGGAGTGGACTTTCTGGGTTTCGGGTCCAGTCCACACGGGAAATGGAAATCCGGCCAGCTGGGAGAATTCTCTGTGTGGCTCCTCAGAGCAGTAAACAGTGACTCACTGCTCTGCTCCCCACCCTCCCTGTTCCCTGTGAGTGGAAGATGCGTTGCTCCGGTATTTACTTTTGCTTTTTATAAGTCACAGACTCGTCATGTTTCCGCTTTCTTACAGTTTCAGGAAATTGAAAGTGTCACCTTAAAATTGTAGAATTTCAGAGCAGGTAGGAAACCTGAGTGGTCACACATCCATCCTGACTGCCCATGTTAGGTGGGGAAACTGAGGCCCCAAGGGGTCACTCACCCAGCCTGAGGTTGCAGAGGTGGTGGCTGGGAGTCATGGTCTGGCCCAGTGCCTGCTGTCTAGTGAGGTGCTGGGGTGGAGGCGGCTCTCCCAGCCTCCCTCTCCCTGCCTGGCTTCCCGACCCCAGTGCTGGGCCAGCTTCTGTGTTAGGTGGCAGGAGCCGGTGTAGGGAACACACGTTCCCTGCCTGCCAGGAGCTCACCATGCAGTGAGGCGCCACCTGTCCACAGAAGGATCTAGAATCAGGTCTCAGTAGAGGGCACTTGCCTTCCACAGGAGGACATGCCCAGCATAGAAGCCCAAAATGGCAATGGAGCAGGGAATGGTGGCTCAGGAGGGATGCAAGACCTCCACCCACCTGTGTGGCCAAGATTGAGGCACCAAAACCAGAGTGAGGGTGTCTGGTTCGGCCAAAGCTGTGGTCCAGACAGGAGAAGCTGGATGAGTGGACAAGAAGGAGAGACAAAGGGGTTGGGGCAATGGTGTGTGAGTGGTGTAGTGGGGGCTGATGGTCACCTGAACTCCGGATTCAGAGAAGAGAATGGGGAGTGTCTGAGTTGCTGGGCTTTTCCAGGGGATGTCCCCGCTGGATGTGGAGGCTGGAGCTGGGGATAGAACAGACCCCTTAGCCCTGGTGGGAGCCTCAGGCAGGGAGACCACTCAGCAAGCTGGGGTGTGGGGAGGGCTGGGGTGGAGGAACCAGGGCGGGGGGTTGGGGGGTGGTCTGCAGCTTGCTGTCAGCCACGGCAGCTGCCTGAGTCACCTCTGGATGTAGCTAGGATGACACAGCTTCTTCGGACTGCAAATGCAAGGTGACCAGACGTCCTCCAAACAGGGCAGACAGTCGTGGCTTGCAGGAGGGCGACTGGCCAAGGCCAGGCTGCAGGCTGGTGTGGTCCGGGCTGGGGGGTGTCGAGCAGGGTGCTGCAGGACACATCCTGCACGCTGAGGGGCCACATCTGGGGCGGGAGGGGCAGTGGGGAGCCTTCCTGGTCCGGGACATCTCAGTAGGATGAGTCATTGGCCCTTCTTGGGGACCAGTTTGGGAGTGCCCTCTGGGTACCAGTGCCACCTCAGCCCCACCCACTCTCCGGGCCCATAGGAGGGGCACCCGCTTTGTTCCCTTGTCAAAAGCCTCCCGGCAGAAGCAGCCACATCTTCGGTGGATTCTGGTTTTGTGGATTTGCATCTGTGACAGCAGTGGCTGCGAGGAGGGCAGTTGCTGCCTCACTGCCTGGATTTTTGAATCTGCTCCTCTTGGGTAGAACTTCTGTCTTCCTCTCACCACTGCTCCATCTTCCCATATCTGACATCACCTGTGGGTACAGGAGTGGAAGGGGTGCTCCCAGGAGGGCTGGAGATGGTGGGGGTGTGGCATTGCAGTCCCCAAGAACTGACGCCTCGAGGAGAGCCCACCCGTGCTAGCTTCAGAGAACGAGATGGGTGGTCTGGGTCAGTCACTTACCTAGAAAGGAATTAGAGCCCTTTGGAACTGTGACATCTCTCTCCTGAATAATCCATCCCTGTGGCCGTCCATGTGAGCTCTGGCCAGCTCCCCACATGTCTTTGTGCAGAAGAGGTCCCCTCCTGGGCCCAGAAGTGTCTTTCTCGTTGTGTGCCAACACACGGAGAGACATTGGAGGCTGTAAACCCCCAATGAGCTCAGTCAGAACAGTAGGTGACAGTGATATTTCCTGGGATTTAAAAAGGGAGAAACAAGCCTCTGGCTCACCTACCTTCTGAAAGGGCAGTTTCTGGACTGTTGATGCCAGCTACATGCCCTGCCCTCTGGGGTGCTTAGGCACAGGATTCTGAGTCCCTGCCACACCCTCCCTGGGCAGAGCAGCCCTGCCCTGCACCTCGTGGGCCCCAGTGGCACTGGCTCCCGGGTTTCTCCCACGGGACGGACACAGTGGACTCCACGAGGCTGCTGGTGTGTGTGCTGCCTGTTCCAGAGGAAATGGTTTTTCCTGTTGAGCCTTGTTTAGAGGGACATCCCATTGACGTTTTTGGCATTGGGTTGAAAATCCTATGTCTTCAATTAGAAAAACAGTCACCTAGTGGGTGTTCCAGGTTACAGGTGCTGACTGAGGCCACTCTGGGACAGCGTGTGTTCAGGGACGTGGGATGTGGCACTGTTGTCTCACGCAGAGCCGCGAGCGTGCACCACAGAGATTCAGACTCGCCGTTTCAGGATCCCAGCCTTGGCACTGGCCGCTAAACCTCTCTGGTGACTTTGCTGAAATTCATGAGACCTCACAGGGCATCAGGCCCCACGAAAGGCCTCGCTGAGATCTGTCTGTTGATATGGTGAGGCGTGTGCTGAGTGGGCTCTGGAGCCGACTGGCTGCCGGGGTGGCAGTGCTCTTGGGGCACACAGGAGCTGGGAAGCCCCTCTCGGGTGTTCTGTGACAGAGATGTGTGCTGCTGCCTGTGGCCTTCTAAGGTTGTGTCTCCAGCCTGGCTTGGAGTGGAGTCCTTTGTGGGCGCTCTGGTGGCATCCAGGCTGCCGGAGGTCTGTGATTTATGAAACTCCCTTTAAAGCAGCTGTTTTAAAATGAGTTGCTTTACAAACTTTCTCACACACGCAAAGCTCTTCTCTGAATCTCTTTCCAAAACCAAGCTATCAGTTTTCTTGCCTTTGGTGTTGGAAGCGACTTTAGGTCAGTACCACGTGGATTTGTGCTATGTGTTTTGGGTAGACGTTAGTACCAGCATTAACCTTTCCACGAGCTGAGCTCGCAGAAGCAGCGCCATGCCCGGCCTACCTTCTGTGCTTGGCACCAGCCTGAAGGGCAGGACCCCAGTCTGGGAAATCTGGGCTCCGACTTGGCTGGGGCCGTCCTGCCTCACCTTTCCGAGCCTACAGGTGTCTGGTTCTTGGGCCCTGGTGCAGGTATGCCTGAGCACTGGGGACATGGGGGAACATAGGCATTGTACAGCAGCCCCAAGTGCTTGGTGACCTTAAGCTCATTAAAATGGTCAGCTGACCCTCATGGGGTCACCAGCAGGGGCCTGAGCCCCTGTCCTAGTGTCCTGGTCACCTCGGCATCCCACCTCCTTAATAGAAAGATCCCTGCACTGAACTTTGCCCCCGGTGTCCAGCCAAGCTCAGGATATCACCTATGGGTCCAGCCAGTGGGCCCCTTCACTGGACCTCCCTTTTCCTCTTGGCTTTGTGAGGCAGGCAGTGGCCCTGTGGGCCCCAGGGAGCAGGTCCTCACCGGGTGGGAGGGGCCTCGGGTGTGTGGGAATGTGAGCTCCGGCTCTGTAAACAGCTGGTGACTCACCGCATAACTATGTCACTGGCCGCTGGGTCCTGTGCACTGACGTGCTCTGAGTGTGAGCTGGGAGAGCCCGCGGCCCTTCCCCTCGGACACAGAGACCCTCTGGTGCTCCCAGGCCTGCCTCCCCAGGCCTTGTGGGTGGTGGGAGTCAGCTGGGGCCCTGCCCCCCAAGTGTCGGCTTCGCCCCACCCTCCGGTGGGAGGGTCAGACCCATGGAGCGCTGGCTTGTTGGGTCCCTCCCAAATGACGGGGTTCACTGCAGCTCTCTCCCTCCCTGTGAGCGTCACCCCAGACCGCTGCTTGCTGCCTTTCAGGGTCCCTGTGGAGAGTGTCCGGTCCCTCCTGCCCAGGAGCCCAGAGCCCTCCAGAGGCCTTCCCCGGAGTCCCGCTCTGCCCGCCAGTGCTGTGAGAGGGCTCGGACCCTGTCTTGGTTTGCAGTCCTCTGGTTGTGGGCAGTGGGAGGGCTATGGAGACATGGCCCAGGGCCCCCAGCAAAGGCAGGGCCCAGGGGTGGGGAGGTCCAGGCCAGGGCTCACCAGTGCAGGCTCCGGGTCCTGGGTATGCGGTGGGTGCAGTGGGGTTGCCCACCCTTGGGGCCAGAGAGACACTTCTCCCAGGGCTGCCCTCCGTACCTGAGGAGAGGACCCCTCTCTGCGTGTTTCTCTGATGTCCCTTTTGCTCATCTCGTTCTGCGCTTGAAGTGTGGGGAGTGAGCGGTGGGGGCAGTGTGGACCCACCATGGCCATCTCGTGTCCTCCATAGCCCCTTCCCCGTGGGTGGGGGTGCCTGTGTTTGTTTACTGCCTGACTCCTCGTGATGTCTGCGCACAGGCCTGACCTGAAGTCCTCATTGCTTTTGGGCTTCTCTGTCTCCATGACGACCGTGGGGGGGCTGGCCACTTCCCAAGGTCGCCATGGCAACTATCAGAGGGGAATCATGCTTGGGATGGTTTGGCTGGGTTTTTCATGAATGATTAGAATGTGTGACACAATGCAGACGGAGACTGGGCAGGGCTGGCGCGGCGGGCGGGGGTGGCGGGGACAGCTCCCGCCAGACGGCCCGTTAGCTGGTGAGGCGGCGGCTCCCCACCTCTGCCCACAGCCTCTAGACCTGCTGGCCCCCAGGAGCCCCCGCCCACCCTCAGGCCATAGGGTCCTGGTGCAGGGGGCCGCTTTCGTGGAGGTGGTGATGTCACAGCTGCAGCACCCTTGGCTGTGGTAGGTGTCCCTCGGGCTGCAGAGAGGGCGGGGCTGAGGGGTGGCAGATGCTCTGCCCCGGCCCATCTTTGGGGGTGAGGCTCCAAGAGGGCTGGGGCTCCCCTCTCAGCAGGCAGCTGAGTGTGAAGTGACAGGCATTTTGCCAGGCGGGGCCACCGTCCAGCTGGGCCAGCTGTGCCTCTGCGTGCTGGGCTGGCTGTTCCCGGAAGGCCTCGCTGCTGGGCGCTTGGGAATCCAGGACAGAGCACCTTGAGCCTCTTGGGTGCAGGCGTGTTGTCTGAGTTCAGGAGGGGACTCACAGGAGGAAGCAACAATTACTGACGCCTGGCGTCCACCCTGCAGCCCTGGCAGCTCCAGCACGGGGGAGGGCAGTAAGGGGCAGGGTGTGGCTGCTGGGGGCTCTGGGGCGGGGGCCCAGCTGCTCTGTGGGCCCACACTGATGCTGGAGTGGGGTGCGGCCGGGAGCCCCTCACAGGGCTGGGGTATGGCAATGTCCTGTCTTGTTTTCCGGGTGCTGTGACTGGACAGCACGGGCCGAGGTGCTGAGTCTCCTTGGGGCATCCCTGCCGAGAGAGCAGCCGCCCGTCTCCAGCCTGCCAGAACCTAACCGCACTTGCTTCTGTGTGCTCTTTTTTGTCTTTCTAGTTACGATTTCCAAGCAGTTCCGTCCTGGTGACCGTGTCCAGGTTATGACGACTAATCCCAAACCGAACAAGGCATTAAAGGTAAGGCACCGGGTGGCTGCTCTGGGCAGGGCCGTCACTGTCCCCGACACAGGCCTGGGAAAGGTTCTTCCAACCCCAGAGCCTCTTCCTTCCCAAGCTGCCCTCAGGATGTGACGGGGCCTCCCTGTCACCAGGACTGGGGGGCACTGTCGGCTGGGGGTTGTCAGTGGGAGAGGGGGTGACAGAAGTGGGGACTCTGGCCCTGGGAGACCCTGGCCCCGACATCCAGGGAGATGACTCCCAGGCTGAGGGGTGGCAGGACGGATGCCCGCCAGCTGGGGCTGCATCTGTGATTCCCCAGGCCCTGTTTCTGCCCAAACTTGTCACCCAGCATTGGGTGGCAGAGTGGCCTCTTGTGACCAGGGCTCTCTGGCTCCTTCTGTGCTGGTACTTGCTGCCTCCTGGCCCTGTCAGTGTCACTGGCAGCGCAGGACACACGTGTGGGTTGACTGATGTCACTGATGCCCTCCTATGGGGATAGCCCTTAAGTCTACCCTGTTCCAAGATGGCTGTGTGACAGTGGCAGTTGTCCCAGGGGCCACCTGTGGCTTAATGTCAGGCAGCCCCCAGAGAGTGTGCAGAGGGTCACAGCCAGGGCTTTGTGCCCTGGACACTGGGCTCCTGACTACCTTGTTGGGCGTCCCCGCAGCAGCCGTCCCTAGGGCCAGCCCTCCCGGTGGTGACCGGCTCTCTGGCCTGCAGGTCAAGAAGGAGGCGGGCGAGAACGCCCCGGTGCTCAGCGACGATGAGCTGGTGTCCATGTCGGTGCGCGAGCTGAACCAGCACCTGCGGGGCCTCACCAAGGAGGAGGTGACCCGCCTGAAGCAGCGCCGGCGCACGCTCAAGAACCGCGGCTACGCGGCTAGCTGCCGCATCAAGCGGGTGACGCAGAAGGAGGAGCTGGAGCGGCAGCGTGTGGAGCTGCAGCAGGAGGTGGAGAAGCTGGCGCGCGAGAACAGCAGCATGCGGCTGGAGCTGGACGCCCTGCGCTCCAAGTACGAGGCCTTGCAGACCTTCGCCCGCACCGTGGCCCGAGGGCCCGTTGCGCCCACCAAGGTGGCCACCACCAGCGTCATCACCATCGTCAAGTCCGCGGAGATTGCCCCCTCCGTGCCCTTCTCTGCCGCGTCCTAGTGCCTGCTGGGGCCTCGTGGGGGGCAGTGGGTGGGCGCCTCCCACGTGCCTGTCAGAGGGTCCTTGGGACCCAGACTGTCAACATCCACATCAAATGCGGGTCCTCGGGCCACGGCAGCTCACGCCAGGGCGAGGTTGCAGGTGCAGGATGTGGAGCAGGCTCTGGGGAGCCCCTGCCACACGCCACCACACTCATGCGCACATGCGTGCTCACACACTCACACGCCCTGCCCCTGCTCCCCGGTGTATGTGTCTGGTTCTGGAAGTTAGTGTCTCGCGCCCGTGGGAGTCAGGATGTAGGGTGGGAAGGTCCTGGGAAGGAAGGTGCTGAGGTCCCCTGCAGGGGCTGCCAGAAGCAGCAGCTGCCCCTGCAGCCTGGCTGGCAGGCGCTTGTCTTCCACGTGCTGTGGGCAGCCCGCCAGCCCCTGTAGGAGCCCTGCTGCTGTGACCGAGCTCTGGCTGCCCTGAGAGGGGAGTGGATGGAAGGTGGTCAGCCCCTTGGTCTTCCAGCCTTCCTTGTTGAGATGCACTGTGACCTGCTTCAGCTCTGAGCATGCAGCCTGTGCCGCTCAGGCATGGGTGGGAGGGCCGCCTGCGTGGGCTGGTGCGTGTGTACGCATGTATGCACGGGTGCACGTGTGTGCACCTGCATGTATGTGTACAGGCTTGCCTGCCATCACTGCATCCGTGTACCAGCACCTCAGGGGGCCTTGGAAGAGCAGCTGGTCGCATGGAGAGGGCCTGTGGGTATGTGGGAGAGGGAGGTGTATGTATGTAATGGTCCTGTGTCGCCTGTGTAGGTGCAGTAGACACCTGCCCACGGGAGCCAGCCCACTCAGTCACAACCCCTTGGGCCATTCCCGGGTCTCAGTGCAGACAGGCAGGTCTCAGGCGGGTTTACCCAGAGCTGCCTCTTGCCAGCTGTGGTGGGCACAGGGGAGAGTGTGAGGGTCTTTCTGTGGCCTGGATGGCAGGGCTGCTACGGCCCAGGTAGGGGCTGTGGCCTGAGGGATGCTGGTGGAGGTGGGGGGGGGCGTCCTGTGGGGAGTGGGGGAGGAGGTGGGAGCAGTGCCCAGGAACATGAGAGGTGGGCCTGGGACGTGGGGAGGGTCAGAGGGCGTGACCAGAGGGGCGAGGCCGGACCCTGGGCCAGGAGTGCCTTGGCAGCTGGCAGGTGGCAGGCTCTGCAACCCTGCCCCTGCGCTTTCTTCCTGGAGCGTGCAGTGGCTGTGTCTTGGCCGTCCTTGGGCTTCCTTTCCCAGGGAGCCCTGAGAGCTCCTGTGCCTGTGCATGCAAGTGGGTGGCAGTCCTGGGGTGAGCCGGCGGGATGGAGCCCTGGCCACTGGCCAGAAGCTGCCACGTAGGAAAAGCCGAGGTGATGCCAGGACCCGGCCTCTGGTTCCCTCTAAGCCTCGCCCACCCAGGGAGACCCCAGCAAGCGGCACCACCCCCTGCGGGGTGTGAGCCCCATGGGAGGGCAGAGGACGGGCAGCCCCAGGGCTGTGACACAAGTCTGTCTGCTGTTAGAGTGACCAGGAAGCTGCAGGCCCAGCCGGCACCAGGGCACACTGGGCCTTGCCGGTGCAGAAGGCCGGTGTTTAGGTAAAAGGTGGTGACACCACAGCCATGGTAGGTAATCCATATTGGATATCGATAAGGACCATGGGAATATTTAAAGAGAGAAAGATTATATATATATATAAAATTATATACACATTTTATCGTATAGATTTTTCGTAGCGATTTTCCTTTTCCGGTTTGATACTGTAAATCTTTATTAGAGCAGAGCCGCAGTGCACGTTGGACGGCGGGAGTGGGGGCGGGTCGTCCTCCTTCCTGGCTTCTCGGAAGGAGGCAGGTGCCCGTTGTCTTCCCTCCTCTTCTGAGGCTGCACTGGCCCCACGCTGGCAGGTGCTGTGCTCGGAGCCGCAGTGGGTTGCAGGTTCTCTCCAGTCTTGGGGTTCTTGGTGTCCCTGTCTTGTGGGACGTTGGCAGGTGGGGGACCGTGGGACGTGGGCTGGGGAGGGGACGTCCCACCCTTGGCTCTGCCTGCCCGAGATGGCGCGTTCTGCTCTTTTCTGATCATTGAGATTTCATTGTCATGATTTAATATATGGATTTTTTTTTTTTTTATTTAAGAAAAAAAGACAAGGACCTCTTTGTCGTGTGGGTTTGTTTTCTGTCTCTGTGCCTCAGGCTTCCAAAGAAGGCAGGTCTTTGCTTCTCCCAAGGCGGTTGGGACCCTCTGTTTCCCGTGTCGTCACCCAGTTTCTCCTGCCTCTGTGCTACTCGGCGGTTTCATTTCAATATTTATTTTTGTGCTGCTTTTTACGTGATATAAATTATTGAGGAGAGATCACATGTGTGGACCCTCGCCTGGCGCAGGCCCCCACTTGCAACCCTGCCCTGTCCCCGTGTCGTGGCTGCCACCTGATTTACTGCTGTACATCTTGCTGCTGTGACTGCTTTTGTACCTTTGCAATAAAGATTTTTCTGTTTCCAGATCCTTCTCATTGTGATGTTGGTGCTTTGGGCTGGGGCTTTCTTGGGCCAAGAACCCCTGTCCTGGGGGCTGCTGGGGTGTGCTGGGCCCCTGCATGTCCCCTTATGTCACCTGGAGAGGTGGCTCAGGCTGGGTTTCCGGCACTTGCAACTGTGATGCTGGGACAGCCGTGGGAGCGGTGTTGGCTGGGCAAGACACAGGTGGCTGTTTCTGCCTCCACATTCTGGGCTCACTCTGCACGGCAGAAGGTTCCTGAGTGTCCCCACCTGCCCTGCCCTGAAGCTGCCTATTCACTGAGGCAGCCTTTCCTTTCCTGTTGGGCTTCCCAGGTGGGTGTGGGGTGCTGGGCATCGCCTCACTGCTTTGTCCGGGGGCTCTAAGACGAGCCCGCGGGAAGTGAGGGAGACGTGTATATTAGCAGAGCTCAGCACAATGACGTAAGTGGTGGCCCCTTCTGAAAAGCTAGGTCCTGTCCTGACTCGTGCTGCCCCTGCCAGCCCTCATGGGGAGCACCCCCACCCCGCTGTCCCTGTCCTCAGCCGTGGGTTCACCGGGGCAGGAATGCACTTTGGTGCCAGACCTCTTGGGCTGAAATCCCAACTCTGTGTGTGACCTTGGGCCAGTTCCTTCCCTCTCTGAGCCACAAGTTCCCGTCTGTAAATGGCGGGTGAGCAGTGATGTGCACAAAAGGTGCCTTGGCAGAGTGGGGTTTGAGTCTGTGCTGGGGCTGCTGCGCCCCGAGCTTGTGACACCAGCAGTGGCAATGACAGGTGTTTTCCCAGCTAAGCCAGACGTCCCTGCAGCCACCCCTGGGCACCTGGTCCCAGCCTGCCCTTCGAGGGGAGCTGTGGCACAGAACCCCTGCCCAGCCTTAGGCTCCTGGAGGCAGACAGGGGCGTGGTGCAGGAGACCCTGCCCTGGCCAGCTGCCCAGCTGCGGCAAGGTGGGTCCAGGGCCCCTCAGGGCTTCTGCCCTTGTGTGTGATTGCCGGGGATTTTCTGCCTGGCTGTTTCACAAATGAGGCTGAGAGAGTTCACACCATTTGGCAGGAGCACCTGGCCCGCTCCTCGGCCAGTGGGCGGAGCCTGGGGTGCTCCTTCCCCATCATCTGTGTTCTCTGTCCCTCCTCTCTTGTGCACCCACAACCCCCGGGGAGGCGAGGTGGCAGCCTGGACTGCCCGGCAGCCGTATTCCCTCTGTGCGTGGCAGGAGCACTGGGCGTTGCACTCAGCCTGCGTGGCTTTGGCACTATGTTAGAAGGCAGCGGGGCCTTGTGCACAGGGCACAGGTGTCTGGCAGGGTAGAGAGAGTGGGCCTGTGGAGCCAGCCCCCCCAGTGTCCAAGTCCCTGAGCTGTGACCTCAGGCAACTCGCTGGACCTCTCTCAGCTTGGCCACCTTCCTAGCTGTCCTGAGAACCGAGTGCACGTCGGGTTCCTGGCTCAGTCCTTGGCATACACAGCGGGTGGTCAGTCAACGCCAACTTCCCCCTTCCCCAAAGCACGGGCCTGAGGCACCGTCCGGCAAACGAGCCTGTCCTGTGGCATCTCAGTCCCTGCAGCCTGGAGCCCACACAGTGTCTAGGCTTCCAGAAGGGCCCTTGTGCACTTGCTGTCTGTGCACAGCTCTGGGCAGCTCAGGCCCCAAAGGGCTGGCCCTCTCCAGGTCAGAGGCAGAGCAGGCCCGGGTTTTAGCCAGGCCCCCACCCCCTAGCTCAGCAGGGCAGCCCAGCGTCCTGCCCCTCTGCAGCCTCAAGAACACCCCCTCCTCAGCAGGTCTCACGGAGCACTGAGCCCCAAACCCACTGACCGGTGGAGACTCAGCCCTGGCCATGGAGCCCCTATGTCTCTGCCGGCTGCAGAGGGCGAGATAAGGTGGGTGGCAGTCTTTCCATGCCAGCATGGGGAGGGGCTCGGCCTGTCTTATCAGACAGCCCAGCTGGGCTCTGCAGAGGCCGCTGCCTGGAGTCCCCTGTGTCCTCAGGCCAGGCAGTGGCCCACTCTGCCCCTCAGAGATCCTGGGTTCATTTCCCCCTTTCCTGGGACCATGGGATTGGGTGGCCAGGTGGCAGGGGAGGGAGCTGTGGCCATGTGGTACCTGCCTGGCCTTCCTGTCCACTGTGCCTGTCGGCTGGCAGCCGTTCCCCATGCCCAGCCCCCGCGCCCCAGGCCCTGCATCTGCACCTGCCCCAGCCCCAACCCCGTGCTGTGGCCAGACACACAGGACTGACCGAGATGCACACAGGGACACCACAAGAGCAGACGCCCCTCCCCTTGGTGGCTCCCACCTCTGTGCCCAGCCACGTTCCTCTGGGAAGCCCCTCTCCCCTAGGCTGCTCCCTGCCCACCAGCCTGCTAAGGCAGGGCCTGTCCCCACTCAGCTCTCCCAGAACCCAGGCCCCCTGGGCACACAGAGGAAGAAGAGGAGGAAGGGGAGAGGGCAGGTGCTCCTCTGTGCCCCCAGCTTTCTGGGCTGTGCCCACATAGTCTCGTCCACCTGCTGCGTGGGGTTGGCACAAGGCCCATGTTATGAGGAAGCTGAGGCTCCGAGGACAGAGGCAGCTGCTCTGGTCTCGTGGGTGGCACAAACTCGGGCATCGGGTCTCAAAGTTCCAGCTCCATGCCCTGCATGGCTCAGAGCAACAGCTGGCCTCCTCCAGCCCCACTCAGGTCGGAGGGCCTTGTCTGACCACCCCTCTGTGGCCCACTATGGCCCACTGCCCAGGGCACTGGCCCTGCAGGGTCAGAAGCCAAGCAAGTCATTAGAAAATCCAAGATGTTTATATAAATAAGAGAGACTCCCAGGGAGGCAGCGAGTGCTGGCAGGCCTGGCACACACCTCCCTAACCCCACCAGGCACACTCTCCCCAGGGGGCCTTGCAGGGCTATCCCTTGGCTGGAGACCGGGCTGGAGCATGGGCTCCTCCCTCAAGCCCGAGACCACACCAAGGCTCACCTGGCATCACCCCTGCTCCGACCAGCCTGCGTGGACCCTCAAGCCTGCAGTGCCCAAGCTGCCTGCTCTGGCGCTGGGCTGCCGAACCCTGCCTGGCCGTCCTGCCCACAGCTGCACAGCTGGGGTCTGTCCTTCGTCTGCCTGCTCGAGCCTCGTGGAAGGAGGGCCACTCTGCAGCTCCCTGAGGCCGGTGTGGCACCTGGAGATTACGTTTTGCTCAGGGGCCTCTCCCAGGGCAGCAGGCCCACCAGGGATGGTGTGGACCCTGGACTCCTGGCAGGGCCACCGTGTGCCCTGACCACAGCTGGAGGTAGGATGGGGAGCAGCTCCATGGGCCTTGAGGAGGGGCTCTCAGGAGAGGCCTGACCTTCAGCAGGAGGGTTGGGGGAGAGGCAGGGGCAGACTGGGTCCCCAGCTGGGTGCCAGTAACCCTGAGGCTCTTATAGGTCCTCTGAGGGAATCAGCATTCGCTTCTCCATCTTTCGGCTCTTCCTGCCCCTGCCAGGACCCCCAGCTGTGCCCGGGTGGGTGCCAGGTGAGGGGTGCCCATCCTGGCTGGGCCCGGGGGCCTCGTGCGTGGCCTGCTGAGTGTACTGCTGGTAGGCGGGTGAAAAGTTGTGGATGGCATCTTGCACGATGTCTTGGGGGCTGATGGTCTCCCTGAGGCTGCTGGAGATGCTCTGCATGGGCGCCGGGGGGCCTGGGGCGGACAGGCAGCACGTGAACACCCCCCCACACACACACACCCCATCCCACGGCACGGCCCCTCTGCCCTGTCTCCCCAGTCTGCCTGGCGCATCGGCCTCCTCTGCTCTGGGCTGTGGCTCCTGCATGTCTAGGTCTGGCCAAGGTCAGCAGAGGGTGGTCCCTAGCCCATCTCCCCCACCCCAGCCCTGGGTCTGTCCCTGCCCAGACCCCTGCCAGGGGCCATGTCCCCCTGGAGTTCCTGAGGCACTAGAGAGGGGCCTTAGGCTGGGCGAGGTGAGCCCTGCAAACCTTCGGCTGCCCCAAAGGGCCAGTCACTGGGATGTCAGACCCTGCCTGCCCCTGGGGCTGGTCCCAGTTTTGGTGTGTGGGGCAGGACACGCCTGGCTGGGGGTACCGATCCCCTGACACCAGAGGGGCCCTCGGCCTCTATCCCACCAGAGCTCTAGCTCACTCAGAACTCAAGCCTCTGCCTGCCCCGCCTCGGCCCCTGCCAGCCGGCCTGGGCCACACACAGATGAGGTGCCCATCCTAACCAAGATGCCCTGGGATGTCTCCCTGTCCAGTGTGGTGACATTCCTGGGCCTCCTGTGCAGGAAGGACACAGCCCCAGGGCCAAGGGCACTGCTGTGATGTTCCAGGTGCCCCAGCTGGAGGGCCCAGCATACCTGGTGAGTTGTCCTTCTTCTCTGAGTACACCTGGCAGGTGAAGGCGTAGCGCAAGGCGACGGAGGCAAAAAGCATCTCGATGCAGATGATGAAATTCTGGTAGCCGGCAGCCAGCGTGCCGGCCCCCACCGTGCTCCCGTCCAAGGTCTGGACCTCGGCGAAGACCCCGCACCTCTCCAGGATGGCCAGCAGCATCCCTGGGGAGGCAGCAGCCACTCAGGCACCAGCTCTGGGCAGGAGGCTGGGCTGAACTGGCCCCAACTAAGGCTGGCCCCAGGGCTTGGGGGTCTGCAGGGGAGGAAGAGGCACAGAGGGCAGGCACCCCTACAAGCAGGGTCTTGGCTGTGCCCGACCTGTCCTGGGCCCCTGCTCTCGCCTGGAGGTCATCCTCATCTGCAAGCAGGACCAGGACTCAGGAGATGCCAGTGTGGCCCTCTGCACCTCTCTCCACTGACTGAGGGGCCACGCTGGCTGGTGGGGACCTCCCCACTTCCCCTGTGTCTGGGCACTTCGCTGGCTTCATGCTGAGAAGGCCATGTTACTGACCTGGGCCACAGGTCAGCTGGGGAAACCGAGGCACACAGGAACTGGGGATGGAGGTTCTCTGGACTCCAGCCCCTGCCTCAGCAGGCTCACCCCCCTCCCGGCCCCACACACCCTGCCAGAAAGACAGGAAGATGACGGCTTTGATGGTGAGGAACTTGAGGACAGGCTCGAAGGGCTGCAGGAGCTCCTTGGTGGCGAAGTAGAAGAGGAACAAGGCGTATAGGGCCAGGCTGACTGAGGCGTTGTAGACGAGGGTCACGTACAGGTAGCCGCTGTGGACACTGGGCCAGGGAGGTGCAGTGGTCAGGTGGCTGGTGGTCCCATGCCTTCTGTTCCCTGCTCGCCCCAGAGCCACTGAGCCTGGGCCCCACTGCGACCCAGCCAGGACCCTCCCCAGGGCTTGCAGGGGAGTGGCTGAGGGGCTGGGTGGACACAGGTGTGCCTCAGGGAGCCTTCACTGAGCCCCAGGTGGCCCTCTCTCTCCTTGGTCCAGGACCCCATCCTCTTTGACGAGTGACCTCTGCCGTCCTGTCAGAAAGCCACCCCAACCTCTGTCACACGTGTGTGAGTATGAATGCACGTGTGTGGTGCCTGCATGTGTATGTATGAGAATGTGTGCACCTGGTGCGGGCTCTTTCTCGGGTGGGGGCCACTGCCCACCTGCTCGGCCCTCTGGGCCATGCACCCTGAAATCCAACCCCTGTTCTCCTCGGGTGAGTCCACTGCATGGGGGTCTGGGGCCGTCACTGCCTGGGCTGTGCAGCCCTGGGGTCCTTGGCATGCTCACTGGGACAGGGGCTCACCCTGGGGGGAGGCCCGAGGTCTTGGTCTTTGCTGACATTGGAGTCCTTGTCGTTAGGACTCGGCCCCTTGTTCAGCTGGAGGCTGTACCCTACCTCGGACGGCCCGCCAGGCCCCTCCTCTTGCGCCCGGCTTTACCTGAAGTCCCCATCACGGTATTTGCCGAATGCCTGGAGGCAGATGGTGACCAAGGCCATGACGGGCTTCACAACGCAGAACTGCAGCGTGGCCTAGGGGTCAGGGGGTGGGAGTGAGGGCAGGCATGGCACACACTGGGCAGGCGGGCACAGACTGGCCATCCGCCCTGGTGGGTGGGGGGGTGGAAGGGCTGGCGGGTGGCCACACTCACCTGCTTGCAGAAGCGCAGGAACCCAATGGAGTAGGACATGCCCCGGAGGCAGCAGGTGCCGTAGAAGCAGCTGGACCTGGTGGGGGGTAGTCCCTGAGGCAGGGCGCAGAGGACGTGGTCCCGGCACCAACCTGGCCACCCCGTCTTGGGCATGCAGGGCAGTCATGGGGGCCCTGGGATGAGAGACTTACTTGATGGGCTTTCCCCGGATCTCAGCCATGATTGTGCTCTCACCCCCCAGGTACTGGAAACAGAGGCTCAGGAAGCTGTAGATGACAAAGGCTGCAGGGGGTCGGAGTGGTGAGGCCTGCACAGAGGCTCCTGCCAGACCCACCCAGGACTCCACACACAGGTCCGGCCATTCCCGCCCTGGCTCTGGCAGTCCCCCTGCAACCCCTCCCTGGGGCCTGCCATCGTTGCTGATCCCAGCTGGGGGGGGGGCAGAAGAGTGTGGGTCCCAGGGGGTGGCCACGTGTGTTGTGTGCAGGCACCTGGGAGCCCCCACTCGGCTCAGCCCACCACCCAGCCCCTCACCTTCATAGCAGTCCCGCACGGAGTCCAAGTAGACGTAGTACTGGTGGCCTCCCAGGAGGAGGAGGCTGAGCCATGAGTCGAGTGCATAGATGGGCACAATGAGGAGCAGGCGGATGATGTAGCGCTGCTCCTGGGGCACGGTGTAGGAGCGCAGGTGTAGGTAGATCTGGGGGTGGAAGTGGGGGTGGGGCTGCAGGCCACCAGCTACCTCCCATTTTCCTACATTTTCCAGTTTTCTACAATGAGCATGCTTACTATAATTAGAGACAAATATCATTCCATTGTAATCAAATACATATTTATATATTTAATATGTAAGTATATAAATATGCATTTCTGATTACAACAAAATAATAAATATTTTTGAAAAAATTATTTACTTATTTTTAGAGACAGGATCTCACTCTGTTGCCCAGGCTGGCTTTGAACTCCTGTCCTCACACGATCCTTCCGCCTCGGCCTCCCAGAGTGCTGGGATTATGGGTATGAGCCATTTCCCCCAGCAAAATTTATTTTTTAATTGACAAAAATTATATGCATTTATGGTGTACAACATGACGTTTTGATACACGTATTCGGTGGGAAATGGCACAATCAAACTTACTGACATCTCCATTTCCTCACATACTTACCTGTTTCTTGTGGCGAGAGCACCTACCATCTCTCCCAACAATTGTCACGCACACCACACATTGTCACTTATGAGAGTCACCATGTCGTTCAACAGACCTTTTATTTATTTACTTATTTTTGGTAAATAACTTCTTTGGGGATGAGATACCCCCAGCCCTCCCCGGCCCCGTTTGCTCTTTGTGAACGCTCTGGCAGTGAGCTCCCTCACTCATTCACACATTCATTCATTCATTCACTCAGCAAGAATCTCCAGGGCTGCAAAGTTCAGACCCGGGGAGGGACAGGTTGTGTCACGGCGCCTGGCCGGCACAGACACTCTGGGAGTCAGTTTGGCTTTCGTCCCGGGGACATTAGAAGGACTTATACCCTTTGCCGCCTCCCAGTAACAAATCTTCCCAGAGATAAATGAAAAGGTTTGTGTACAAGGACGTTCATCACAGGAACACACAGTGACCAGCCGTCAGGGTCACGGCGGGGGCCGGGCTGGTCACACTGCGGCGTGACCGTGCAAAGGGATCTTACACAGCCAGTGACAAGGACACTGGAAGAACATGCCCGTGTGGGGGGATGCTCTGCTAGAATGCAGCCTCTAAAATCACGATGGCAGACCAAGTAGGAGCCCAGATGTGTTAAAAATGGCTGGTTTTTAACCAGGCATCACTGTGCCACCCCTGGGCAGTGGGGAAATGCGAGTGGTCACCGTTTTTGCCTTTAAGTCCTTCTATATCTCCCATGTTTTCTATGTAGACATGACAAAACAACAGGGTCTTTAAAGGAAGCAGCTGGCTGTTGTCCCAGCCCGGGTGCTGGGGGGAAGGCTTCCTGGAGGAGATGCCGTGAGTGGAGGCGGGTGGAGGGCAGGCCTCACAGAGGGAGCTGTGTGTGCAGAGCCACGTGCACCCGGCTGCCTGGGGCACAGCACGGTTTGGGGACAGGCGCAGGCTGGCATCAGGGACCGGCTCTTTATCAGGCACACACTCCCCCCGCCCTGGTGCAGGGGACGGCCCGGCACGACCAGGCACCAGGAGACCTCTTCCGGGGCTGGCACTGCCAGGCTGGGGTACCTAGGCAAGCCACTGTCCTCTCTGGCCTTGGTCCCCAGCTGTAAGGTGAGAGCGCCAAGCCCCTCTCTGTCCCATCTTGGGTTCCTTGTACAAGGGTGGGTTTGACAGCAGGTTTGGGGGCAGAAGCTGCAGCCCAAGCAAACTCCACAAGCCGTGTCCTGACTGCAAGGCCCCAGGAAGCCAGGCTGCAGCCACCCACAGCTGGTCCCCAAGTTTGCAGCTCAAACACTGCCTCTAGCAGGATGTCCTCCCTGATGGCCCAATAGGAGGGGCTTGCCTCGGAACTGTCTGGGTGGCTCTGTACTCTACCTGGCCTGTCCTCACACACGTCCGCTTTGTGTTCTGGTTATTTGAGTCCACACCTGAGCGGTCTGCTGACTGCCCCGGCCCTGGCTCACCTGCCGACCCACCCCACCCCAGAGCCAGGTGAACCACCCTACAGGGCAGCTCCGAGAGCAGCTCGCCCCCTGCAGCCCTCCTTGGCCCCTCAGTGCCTCCTCGACCCGGGCTGCAGGCTGACTCCTCGAGCTGGCATTCAGGGCTGTGCCCCCCGCCCCATTGTGTAAGCGGTCTCCTGGCGGTCTCTGAGGGCCCCAAGGCTGTCCGCCCTGACCCCGCACTTGGGCACTGCTCTGGGCGGGGGCTGGTGTGGCTCGGGGCTTGGGAAAGTTGCTTCCCACGTGAGGAGGCTGAGAGGAGCTGCCCCTCCTGGAGTCCTGGCTCCTCCAGCCCAGCTCTGACCCTGCTCCCGGCTTCCGGCTGGCGGCTCCCTGCAGGGCAAAGTCCAAACCCTGCCAGCCATCCCCAGGACCCACGCCTCTACAGGAGGAAGGCCCTCTCTGCTTTGGCTGTGTGAGCTGGGAAGAACTTCAGGTCTCTCTGAGCCTCAGTCTCTTTGTCTGAGAAATGGGCCAGGCTGCAACCCTCGGTGCTCAGGGTGGGGAGGATGACTCAGTCTGGGAGGTGGCCGACTCCCACGCGCCATGTTCTGGGGAAAGCCTGGGCCCTGGCCTGACGCCACCTCTCAGGACCCCAGGAACTATTCTTCCCGCCCAGTGGGGCCTCCTGTGTCTGGACTGAGGGCCACCCCTTGTGGTCCCCCAACCCCAGCAGCACCTGTGGGCCAGGCTGAGCTGCGGCCATGTCCTGGGAGATGGGGGTCCAGAAGGAGACTCAGGGGCGGGAGGGCTTACCTGGTGGCAGGTGAGGATAAGGGCGGCCCACACAAAGATGCCGGAGACCCCGCGGGCCAGTGCAGAAGTGAGAAACAGTTGGGGGACACCCTGGGAGCCGTTCCCCACGCGGTCCACCTGCAGCCCGGCTGGCAGGGCCAGTGAGGGGCTGGGCTGTGGCCAGGTTGCTGACGCCAGGGGTGCGCCAGCCGTCCCCAGGAGCCCCGAGGCGTTACGCATCTGCAGAGGCAGGGAGGACAGGACAGGGTGGAGGGCAAAGGTGCAGGCCCCAGGGTAGGAGCTGGCGCAAGGACTGGGTGAGGCTGGCAGGACGCCGGAAGTGAGCTCCGCCAGGCCATGCCCACCAGCGACACTAGCCAGGGGCCTGGCTTCCTCCCACTTGGTGCTCGGCCACATGTGACTTTTGTGGTCCCACTTCACTTTCCTCATCTGATGCTCTGGGCTTGGGGGAGCTTGCTTTTTAGGAGTCAGAGACTGCCTTCCAGCTGGATCTGAGAAAGCGGGGAGCCCCTGTGTCCCGACTACCAGGGGCGTGGCCTGCCAGGCACGGCTTCAGCAGCCCCTGCCCCGCTCCTACCTGCCCAGCACCCGCCGGCTCCCTGGCACCTGCCCGCCCGCTGGGGCCCCACTGCCAGGTTCCTCGGCCACCCCGAGTCTGCTCCCTAGCCCGGGGTTTGCTCTTCTGTCTCCTGCTGACCTGCCAGGCACTAGGTCTGTCCCTCTCCCACACTGGGAGCCTGTCCGGCCTCCTTCCCTCCCACTGGCCTGCGTCACAGTCCCAGCACCTACCCCTGCAGGCAGGAAGCTCCTCCGCCCAGCCCTGTGAGGCCCAGCCTCTGGGGACTCCTGGCTGGTCATTCTCAAGGCCACGTGGCCCCACCGGCGCCCTGCTGTGGGTGGGGCAAGGCCGATATCCAAAGGGCTGCGCTGGGCCGAGTTGGGTGGCTGCCTCCCCAGCGGCCCACCTGAGCTCCTGGCTCCAAGGAGAGCAGAGGAGGGGCAGGGGAGCAAAGACCTGTCCCCTCCTGGTCCGCTCTATCCCTCCCTCCTGTCTGCTCCATGGCAGCTGTCGCCAGGAACCTGCTGGCCACCAGGTGCACTCACCTGCCTGCATCAGGTGGCCTGGCAGCTGCTGCGGGAGGGCGGGGCCTGCGGTGGGCCAGGGAGGGCTGTGCAGGGGAGGGAGGTGGCGAGCTAATGGTGCAGGATGTCTTTTTGAGGGGCAGAGGGGGTCGGTGCACAGCATCATGGGTGTGCTAACTGCCACTGAATTATTCACTTAAAAGAGATCAATTTATGCTACGTGACTGTCTCCTGAATTAAAAAGAAAGTCCAAGCCCCAAGAACTGTATTGGAAACATTTCTGCTTTTATGGGGGCAATGTAGGGAGTGACAGCCTGGTTGTCACCCCCAAGGGCCCCTGCGGAGAGAGGCTCATCAGGCCTTGGCTTGGGAGGGGCAGTGGGGCCCTCAGCCCCTGCCCACCCGCTCTGGTGACTAGTGGGTTCCTGCTGCTGTGGGGACCATTGCGAAGTGCCCTCCCAGTGCCTGTGTCGGGGCTGCAGGGTACTTGTCCTGCCTGTTACACACCCGACCCTCTCACTGCCAGTGACGAACAGGCTCAGCGCTGGAATGACGGGACGCCTGCTCCCCTTTTAGAGGAGGGGACTGGGGAGCATCAGTGTGTCCCCCAACTCCCTGAAGGGTATGTAAGGGACCAGGGCCCACCCCACCCGGACACTCCACCCAATCTCCCCACCCCTCACCCACACTGTCCAGCCAGGAGGCCCGGGGCCGGGACAAACTAGGGAAGCGGTGCCCGCCTCGCCCACACCTGGAGTGCTGCCTGCTCTCCTGCTTGGACCTTCTGTACCGACTTTTCTCCCAGGTGATGCCCCGTTCCGTAGTCTCAGGTGTCACTCCTGGAAAGAACATCCCCTCTGTCCCGTCACCCTCTTTAGATTTCAGCTGCGAATCCCTGTGTGCCTTACTGTGTTTGCCATCTGCCTTCCCCCTAAGAGAGCTTCCAGAACGTGCTGCTGGGCCCAGGTCTGTGCTGAGGCTCACTGAATACGTGCCCTGCCCTGTGGGTGGCCCTTTGGCTGTGGGCCCCCACTCGGCCTGAGCAGGGGTGTGCAAGGTGGTCTGCAACACCTGCAGCCAAGGTGAGTTCCTACTGTGCGCAAGGTGCTCACCCCCCAGCCCCTTCCCCGCACCCATGACCTGCAGAAGCACTGGCCCGCTGTGTGGGGTCAGCCCTCTCTGGCCTTGGACACCCACGTCGCCACTACAAACAGTTATGAAGACACCATCACTGCCCATGAGTGACAAGGCCCATGACTGTGAAAGGTAAAGATGGCGCATGAGCAGGGCTTGGAAGGGACTAGGAATCACCTCGTCTAGCCCACTCATACTATAAATGAGGAAACTGAGGCCCCAGCATCCAGCACAACATGAGGCTGATCTCCTTGGTAGCTCCCTGCCCTGCCCTTGGCCCAGGGCCACATGCCCCACACCTCTGAGCACGTAGCCCGTTCTAGGACAGTGAAGGACACCCTAAGGGGGCCAGGGTCCCAGGTAGTGTCCAGTCCCCTGCCTCCCCCTCCCCAGAGGACCCTGGTCCCAAGTTCCTCAGAGACTTTGTAGGGGCCGGGCTGGGGCCCTCCTCACCCCAAGCTGCTTGTACGTTGGTATCAGCAGTGGCAGCCACACGTGCAGAGGGTGGATCTGTTAGCCCCATTTCACAGATGAGGAAACTGATGCTCAAGGAAGCGACTCCCTGAGGAGGGTCCCATGGCCCATGGGGGGACGAGGGAGGATGGGTTGCTGCCCCTTAGCCCAGCCGACTGCACTGGGCAGGCCCGCAGGCGAGTGACCAGCCCAGTGGGCGTCGGAGCCTAGCACAAAGCCGGGTCATCATCCTCGAGCCTCACTCTGGCCTCAGAGGCAGGGCAGAGCCAGGACGGGACTCACTGTCCCTGTCCCTACTGGCCAAGGCTGGCCCCACTGGCCACAGCTGACATCTGCCCAGGTCTGGAGGTGTGGGTCATGCCTGACCAAGACCTTCATGTGCCCCGGGGCCCTGAAACAGAATCCCGCACTTCTGTCCGTGCCAGGGGCAGACCCCAGGTCAGGGCCCTGAGGCCCCAGGCTCCTCAGAGGATGGCCCTGGCTGAGAGCCCACCTGCTGTGGGCACTGCCAGGCGGTGCGGACCCTTCCCCACTCCCAGCGGGGCCTGCGGAGGGTATGTCGGGGAGGCCGGGCTTCTGCTGCACACACTCAGTGTGGGTTTGGCAAACAGGTCTCTGCCATCGTGGGGGCCTGGGACAACCTGCCCTGGGGTGGGGGAGGGTTCATTGCCCCCCAGCAGGACCTCACATCAGGTGTGGCCCATTTTGAGCAAGAGGTCCATGTGGCCCCATGGTGGGAGGCAGGAGCCAGGCTGTACTAAGCTCTGGCAGTGGACTGAGGGGTCAGGACCGGGGTCCCCAGGGAGGGCAGGTGAGAGGCTGGCCATTCTTCCACCACTCATGGGCTCACCCTCTACTCACGACAGGCAGTAGGGCTGGCCAGGCCTGATTCCCGTGGCCGGGGCTGGATGCTAACCCAGCCCATGCAGGACACACCTGCCTGCCCAGGTCCCTCTGGCCATTGTCCACTGTGACCAGGAGACCAGGCTCCTGGAAGCTCCCAGCAAGCCCCAGCTCAGGAGCCATCTGGCCGGTCCCAAACTGCCACACCCTCTTCCCTTTTGCCATGGGCCTGGCACAGCTGCCCACCTTTCAACTGGTGCTGAGGCTCCTCAGCCTGGCCACTGGCCCCTCCCAGATGGCCGGCCCTGCCTGATGGGGGCCTGGGGCAGGGGCCAGGCCTCCCCTCTGCCTCGCCACCTCCACTGCTGGACCCCAGAGCTGTCTCCCCTGGACCTGCTAGGACAGCGTCCCCCACTGAGCTGCACCATCAGGTGGGATGCGCTCGGGGCCTGCAGAGGGTACTGGGAGGTGGCAGACCTTGACACCCGGCTTCCCCAGACCAGCCCCACCAGCTCCTCTGTCTCTGCTCTTCCCCAGGCCCTTTGCTGGGCACCCAGCAAAATGCTAGGCAGCATTTGCCAAAGCAACAGCTCTGCCTCAACTAACACCCACCACCCAGGTGTGGGCACGTGGGTGCCTGGGACCCTGGGAGTCAGGTCGTGACCCCACACACAGGAGTGGAGGGAGCAGGGGTGCAGTGGCCAGGCCATAGGGCTCCCTGCCCCCCCAGCTCTACCCTGCAGGCCAAGGCAGGCCTGGACAGCATGTCAGCCCAGCCACTGCCCTCCCTGGAGATCCTGGGGCCACTTCTCCCTCCCTTGGCCACCTCCCAGCTCTAGTTCTGTCCCAATCCACGTGCACACTTTCCTGGGAGCCAAGACCCATGTCCCAGCAGGCAGGCAGCACTGCCTCCTGGTGGCCACACTTCCCGCTCCTCGCCTGGGACAGGAGCAGCCCGCTGGGTCAGACATGCGGGTGGGGGTCCTGGTGTTGGCCTCCCATGGTGTTTGTGACCCCAGGCAAACCCTGCTCCAACCTGTGCCTCAGTTTCACTGGCAATCTGAATCCCTATGTGCTGTGCCTAGGCTGGGCAGTCCGAGCAGGGACTCAGGCTGGCCTCCCTGTCAGCTGCCCTTCTTGGGGGCTGTAGACTGCTGCTGCACGGGAGTGCCCACCCTCCCAGCCAGGCACTTGGGACTCAAGAGTCAGCCTGAAGTCCCAGCACAAGTGCGGGTGGCCCTCCTCTCAGCTTCTGGCCCTCGCTGACCCTGTGCCTGTCAACCAGACCCCAGGTGGAGATATCCTGGGGACACAGCTCTTCTTCCTGTAGGTCTCCTGCCCTCTGTCCTGCCAGGGCCGCCTGCAGCTCCTTGCCCCTGTGTCTGTCTCCAGGCCTGTAGCCTCAGTCCCCAGAGAGAACCTGCCAGGGCCTGTCTACACCTGCCTTTGCCCCAGAGGTAGCTGCCAGCCCAGGTGTGCACCCTGGGGGGCACCTTCCAGCTGGAGCTGGGGCAGGGGGTGCTGACCTGTGCCTGGACTTGCCAGGCTGGCCTGAAACCCTTTTCTTGTCACCAGGTATCATCCTTGGGCTGGCAGGGGGTCTGGCCTGGGGGGTGGAGATGGGGTGAGCAGCGAAGGGACTTCAAGGAGTGGGCTTTCCCCAGGAGCCCCCTCCCAACTGGAGTGCATGGGGCCCCTGCCCGATGCCACACCCTGCTATATGCACTTCCCACGCACCCTCCCCCCCAACACACGCAGCTCACCTCCATGGTGGCTCTTGGCTTGTGGGGAGCTTTGTCGCAGGCCTCCAGGCCTGAGGGGGTGGCCGCCCAGCAATGTGGTCTTCAGCACTCTTGCCCCCTTCTCACGGCAGCTGCGGCAGCCTGGCCTGGTCCTGTGGCTCCTGAGAAGCGCTGGCCTCTCCCCAGACCCAGGACACTCCTCCCAGCCTCTCCCTGCCCCGCCTCGCCCCGCCTGGCCGGCCCTACCTGACTGGGTGTGGCTGATGGACTACACCCTTTGCTGTCCCTCTGCCCACTCTGGGACCAGCCATCTGTTCCATGTGCCATCCCCCTTCCTCTCCCCCACATCTGCAACAAGTGTCTGCCTGAGTGGGTCTGGTCATGGCCATGTAGCCCACATGACATGGTGCAAGGGTCCAAAAAGGGGCTGTGGTGCCTGCCCCCAACCCCGGCCCTGTACACGCTGTCCTTCTTTTCTCTCCTTTGGCCCCTTCACCCCTAAAGAGCCCCATATCCAGGAGCCTGGAGTGGGGGTGGGGTCTCACGACAAGCATCTCTGCCAAGCTGTGGTCCCTGCCCAACACACCACTGCCTGGATGTCTGGAAGTGAGCTCTGGTTTACAAGAGGAAACTGAGCTGGGAGGCACAGGGTTCAGCTAGCAGGGGGTGCTGTGTGGGAACCCTGGTCTATTCCACCTCTGTGGCCAACCTTGGGGAAGCCACTGCTTGGCATTGAGCCCATCTTCCCACCTGCTAAGGGGCCTCCTTGACTGCACCCTCCTGGGTGGGGCTGCAAGCTAAATGGGCAGAGCAGCTGCCCCCTCCCTGTCCTATCTTGCGCCTAGCCAGGAGGGGCTGTCCCCACCCTTCTCAGGCCTAGACAGGGGTCAGTGTGGCCTGTTTTAGCTATCTTGCCAAGGAACAAGTCTTAGCCAGGCAGGCATCACACCTTCACAGTGGGAGGGGCTCATGGCTTCCTGCAGCAAATCTGGGGGGCTCTTGAGATGCTCACATATGAGGAACTGTCATGCACAGCATCTGGTTGTGCTGGCTCTGCCCTGGGCACTCCAGGAACCCTGAGAGCACAGTCCTCATCAAAATGTCCCCAGATTTGGGCTTATTTCTGAAAACCCCGACCTCCCCAGGGTTCCCATGCCTGTGATGTTCAGTCTTTCTGGAACTTATGAATCCCTCCCTACTGCCAGAGCACCCTTCACCCCATGCAAGACAGGGTCTGCCCTGCTTTCCTGTGATGCTGCACTACAGAAGCAAGGTGCCAGGGCCTCCTTGCAGTCTTTGTCCCCCTTGTGCTGGTGCTGGTTTCCCTTTGTCCCCATCCACTAGGCCCTTGTCCTGGTCACTCACCCAGGGCTCCTGTCCTGATTCTAATTTCACTCCCAGGAGCTAAACAAAATAGCCAAGGTTGGCTTACGCCTTGGGTCCCTGAAGTGCTGCTGTCTCATTCCACAGCTATCATGATTGGGTCAGGTGGGTCCAGGGCTCTGTCAACCCCCTACAGAAGCTGCTTTAAAGTGATGGCCAAGAACAGCCACCCACCCTGGCCCTTCCTGACCTCCAAGGCACCCACACGCCCTGGCTCTGGAACACAGCCCCATATCCACTTAGGACATGGGGTAGAAGGGGAGGGGACATTTGGGGGACTCCATTTGTAGCTCACAGAAAACAGCATTGGAGTCACACTGCGTTGGCAAAGGGCACTGCCTCGAAGCATGAGCTTTGTCCACATCTCTGCTGCAGGGTGGCAAATGAGCCCCGCGTTCATTATTTACACACAGCCGTAAATTGCTGGAAATTGTAATTACAGTGTGATTGCTGGGTAGGCGCCACATGCAGCCTTTCCATCTAAGGGAGTAAGGCTCTCCACAGAGCAGACAGCCCTGCCTGCAGAAACTGCCAGCTTTATAGATCTCTTCACTGGAGCGTGGCTCTCTCCTCCTGAATTATGGCGCTGGGAGCGGAGCGCCACAGAAAGCAAAGGGCCAGGTGCCTTCCCACACCAGGCGCAAGCCTGATTTATAAGGCAGAGCAGAGAGGGGCTGGCTTAAGTGATGGAAGCGTTTAGTCCGTTTAATGGCTACCAGACAGCTCTGGGCAGCTGCAGAGAAGTATGACTGAGAAAAGGCACCAAACACCAGCAACTATTTGGACCCCAGTGAGAACCAGTCACGACTCCCTCAAGACATATCCCACTTTTCCCCTCCATACACAGACGACATCAGTAACCAGAGTAAAGTCGGCCTGAGACACGAATAATTTTTCTGGCTCAAAGGCTAAAGCCAGATAAAGTTCCTCCCTCTGCCGTGTCAGAAGGAGGGTCTTCCAGTCACTGAGTGGGTGTTTTGAGTTTCCACACGGTCCTGCCGGGCAGCATGTGACTGTTAACTCCACGTCACCACACCTGGCACACCCGGATCACCTCCTTCAAGGCCTTCACCCCCTCCATGCTCTTGTCCTTCATGGCCATGGCTAGCAGGACTGCTCTGTTTCCAGCTTCTTGAGACACAAACGCTACCAGGTTCTTTGCAAAGACGTGGATGAGAGGCTGGTGAAGGGAAGGGAGGAAACCGTTTTAACTGCAAGAAACCTGGTTTTGTTCTTAATGCTTTCGTTAAATATCCTTCAGAAACCCAGGCTGGCTTCCCATGCCATTAAATCACCACCCTGTGAATCGATGCAACTGTGATTCCGAGTCATACACAAACTGCTAGAGAGGCATCATTACATTTATTTCCTTTGTGGCTTCTGCTTCCTGTCTCTAATCTGAAAGGACTCATGACAAGCTTGCAGAGAGGAACTCTGTCAATCTCAGATCTCTCCAGAGAGAGCCTGGACAGCCACTCTTTAACAAAACGCATCATGACAGGGTCAGACGGAGGAGGATGCCCATGTTACAAAATCAATACCTCCTCTGCCTGTTTGCAGAATAGAATGCTGATGGGCTAGGAACGTACCGCCAAGGGCAAGTGGGACCTAGAAAGTCCCAGAAAGTGTTGTCAGAGGCTTGCCCACGAGATGCTCCTGTCCTTACTGACAAATCACAGCCACAGAAGAGGTTCGTCCTCCTCCCTGGGGGTCTTTCCTGACCACTTTACCTCATCCTGCCCGAGAAGGACTTTTGTAGTAAGCACCGGCTTGCTGATGTCGCTGGCCACATTGCTGGGCTCCAGGGAGACCAGGGTACCCATCTTCCCAAATTGGGTCACCACCACCAGGATGTGACTGCTGAAGGCTGTGCAAACCACCTGGGTGGGGACCCCACACACCACTTCAGTTTTCTGCTTCGAGGTCACCAATGGTTTGCTTTCCATGGCTGAGTCTCTTTAACAGCAGCTTTAATTTAGGTCAAAAAGGGAGGAAAAGGTCAATCAGTCAGATAGACCCTGCGGCTCCGGCTCCCAAACAAGCATTATTTGGCATAAAGCAGAAACACAAGTAGGTCCCTTCTAAAGGGAGAGTCTGCCTGCCCATACAGCTTAGCCTGGAGCTTTGTGGACCGACTCGTGGCCTTAGGACGTTCCCACAGACACGCCGGACAGAGATGGCAGGTCCCGGACGGCGGCGCGTCTCCCACTTCCCAACCCCAGGCCCTCCTGGACACCCAAGCTCCCGCGCCCCCCAGAGCCCCAAGCTCCTCGACCCCCCCTCCAGGCCCCGAGACTCCCGTGCCCCCATCCCCTGGGTTCCCCAGAGTCCCCGCCGCTGTCCCAGCCCACACCGCCCCACGGCACCCGCTGGCTCGGGCTGCCCCGCTCAGAAGCCCCGCCGCCCGCGTCCCGCTGCATCCGGGTTGGGGAGTCCGCCGGTCTCGCGCAGACAAGCAGCACCCATTAAGGGCGAGGGAACCCCGCACACTGCTGATCCCAGCAATGAAACCCGCTCACCCAAGCCCGCGCTGCGCCCGGAAGTGGCTCTGCGACAGCGAAGCTGGCCCGCCCCCGTCGCAGGCCCCACCCACCACGGAAGTGCAGGCGGGGCTTCCGGTCCCCGGGCCATCAGGCGCCCGGGGTGCCCAGGGTCCTGAGCAGCTCGGGTTCCGCGATGCTGGAAGCATCTCAGGGCGCCTCAGGGCTGGTCGTTAAGCCCTTAGTGAGGGACCTTCGGCTTCTCCAGGAATGGGTCGTCGGGCTCCAGGACCCCGGAAGCGCAGGGACTGGGCCCTCGTGTCCTCCCGGGAAGACCCAGGCACCTTGCTGTCCTGGGTTGGCACAGCAAGAATAGTGTTAGAGTGGGTGGGGACTTAGGAGGAGTTCACCGGGGATTTGGAAAAAGAATTCTCACACCAGGAGTAGAATAGTTTTAGGAAAGAAAGTTTATTTTACTTCCCAATGGTGGGAAGGGCACGACACGAAAGAAGGAAAAAAGAAAGTGCGCGGAGGATAGGAAGTTTGGGGTTATTAGGGGGCAAAGAGAAAGTGATTGCAGTCAACTGATAGCAAAAATGGCTGGGAAACTGCTGCGTATGCTTTTTGATTCTTTTTTTCCTTTTCTTTGTGAGGCAGACTTTATCAAAGTCCTTGGAATCTGGCTTTGGCAGGCACTGAGGCAGAGAGCTGGAGTGGGAACTCGTAGCCCTGTTGTTGGCTTAGGGCTCTTCAAGGCTATGAAACAAACTCTTAGAGATAACAAGTTAGGCTTGAAGATGAGTTGAGTCCCAGGTGTTTAATTGAACAAAACAAAGGGCAGTTGTGCTATGAGTTTTCTCATCAAAGGGGCAATTATGCGCTGTGGGTTTATTTCTCTTACTTTCTGTTAGTTTGTTTTTCTCTGTTAGCTAACAGAGGAAGGCCACCTTTAAAATAGCTGAGACTTGTTTGGCACTTAGTGTGTGCCAGGCATTTTTCCAAGTGCTTTATGTATAGCAGTTCATTTAATCGTAGCCACCCCATTTTACAGGGAGGTGTTCAGAGTAACAACCCAAAATAAGTGACTGAGGCAGAGACTTCAGTCAATGGAGTTTGTTAAGCTAAAGTTGGAGGCTATGTCTGGGAAAAACACAACATATCTGTGACTTTCCCCAAAGGGATTTGGGAACTCAGGTTTTAAAGAAGTTAGGGCATAAAGAAGAAAAGAGAAATAGGAGGGGGATGGGCAGTGAGACAAATGGTTACATTCTTGTGGGGCCTAGAAGTCTACATTTTACATAAGACAAGGCAAGTGTTAGAAGAAGGAAGTAAAGGAAGCATCAATTATGCAGATGTCCCTGGGTAGGTGGAAGAATGACCCTGTCTTGTCTCTGTTCTGCACCTGGGAAGAGGAACTTGTGGTTCATTATTAGTGTGGAATGGAACAGACTTTAGTTTTAGGAGCAAGACTTTGCCGGCATACCCCAAATTACAATTTGCATGTCCTTGCTTATGGGAGGCCAGCAAGGAATTTCTTTAGGAATGGTCTGTGGGGTCAGCTTTTCATAGGTGCCTGAGGCCTTTACCTTCCCTTCTGTGTAAGGAGTTAGAGAGGAGAGTAGTCCTGAGATTTTTATTTTCCTTTACAAGAGATCTTGCCCAAGGCCACACAGTGGCAGGGCTGGGTCTGGGCTTCAGACGCTCACCTTTAGTCTCCTCCCACTTGACGCCCCAGTAAAGGGGAGGTGGCGGGACCAGCGCTACCCATAGCAGGATGATTTCCGGTCCTTCTCAGTGATGCAGGAAACCCTCTCTGAGAAACCCTCAGTTTTTCCAAAGAGAAAGTTTTATTGGCAGGTGGGGGGATTTTGGGCAAACACTGAGAGTAATTTGAGCCTTGACACCCTCCCTTGGGGAATTAACACCCTTTCAGAGTCCCACACTCAATGGTCCTCTGTCCAGTTCACTAACAGCCATGCGGAAGCATATTTTTTTGTCTACACCACTGAATCCCTTAGAAAGCCTTGGCGTCCCTAATGTCTACTCTCTCTTTTCATGATTTAGTGATTCCTTATCCAATCTGAGTCAAGTCAAAGGAAGTATGCTCCTCTCAAAATGATTTCTGGTGGCCTAAAGTAAAAGGCATGCATATAAAACATGATCAAAATAGATATAAATCAAGAGGAAATTCATTTTTGTGCTTTCTTGCAGCCAGTACACAAACAGAAAGATTGTGAATTTCATGGTTCTGATACTCAAAAGGCAGGAAGCATATCAATTTCTCAGTAAAGTCTAAGTTTTTACTTGTTCTAAATTTAAACACATATCCACCCACACATATCCCAAAAGCAAATTGCCAGTGTGTTGCTTTGCCATATGACATCTTCATTTTACTCACGTATTTGTGCATTTTCTCTCTGTAGACAGACTCAAGAAATCTGACTCCCTTGCCCCATAAATTCTTTCTCTGAAATAAACTTATCACCTTTATAAAAGGGATGTTGAAGAACAAGATGGATGATGTTTTGATGACACTGTTAAGCACATGTGTAAGGGATTGTCATTGGGTTCTGGTCTAGATCTACAATAAAGACTGAGTGTGAAGGAAATGCGAGAAGGTTGTACCAGGCTAAGGTGGTCTTGGTCCAGGTAGGAGACATTCTAGTGACTTAAATGGATGTGTGGGGAGAACTTCTATTCCTAGACAAATGGAGGATCTCACTGCACAGTGGTAACTGGGCTGGAAAGAAAGTGGTTCGCTTAAAATGGGAATCACAGTCACACTGTCAATGGTGGGGCAAAGAGTTTGATTTGGATTATTTTGAAAACTAAAAACAAAAAGGAAAGTATTTTTAATTTGTCTCGTATTCAAGAAATTTTGGGATTTGAAAGCAATTAATGTGTTAATTTGTAGAACCAACAAAGAATTAATCAAGTGCTCGTTTGGTAGGGCTCTAATTTTTCCAACAGATTGTATGAGTGCTCAAGACATTACCCTCCCCATTGTGTGTGATTTTCCCAGCTCCATTATGAAGAGGATTGGTTTTTACAAAAATTGCAAGGGCGTCATCATTTTCCCAAGAGCCTCTCTGAATCATTTGATGTGCAAATCATTTCTTGTTGGAGTGCCATTCAGTCATTAGCCTTGGCAGTTTCCTCATTCTCAGATGCCTGTCTGTGTGGCTTTGCCAGACAGCCCCCCCGCCCCCAGCCCCGCACATACACATTTTGGGCCCTGTCTGGGCATTCCCAACATGACATTCCTGGGCTTCCAGAAATCTTGCATCTTTTGGAAGATGTACATTTTGGCTTTGTGGTGGATGTGCATCGTACTTCCACAGCTCCACAACACCTCTCCAGGCCTGCTGTGAGTGGGGAAAGATTCTGGAGCTACGCCAGGAGGGATGTTTGAGTGGAGACCGATTATGTAAATGGTCAATTCATTAGTGAAACTTTTTGTGTTGTGGTGATTTCTGTTTTCCCCTGCAGTCCCGAAACAGCGGGGACTTAGATAACCTCATCTCAGACGATGAGGACTTCCTGGGTATATATGACAAGTCTTGGACTGGATAAAACTTTGGGCTTCAGAGTCAACCTCTTTGGTCCTTACTAACTCTGATTTTGGACAACTTGCCTCAGATTCTCAGCTGAAAAAGGAAAATAACAATTGTGTCTGTCTCATAGGATTTAGTGAGGTGATCCATGTACAGTGAATCACGGAACATCATAAATTTAGCTGTTAGGTTTATTGTTAGCGAACTGTTGTCCCCATCTTTGGATACATAGATCCTTGCTGCTCTGCACCAGACGAGGAGCAGCTTGCGTGCAAACCAACTGAGGGGACTCGGAGGCTGTCACATTCAGGGCGCTGTTGTTGCTCTTCACAGTGTGCCCAGAACATTCCAGGCCAAGCAGGAGGCTCTCTGCAGGTGGCTGGGAGGGGGACCGTCAGGCCCTCCTTAGGGGCTGCTTTTGTAATGGTCTTGTAGACACAACATTCCCTCTAAGTTTTTGTGTGGCGGTAATGGGTAGAACCATCTTGTTTATACAAACTAATCACTCTCACTTCTCTCAGCCAGTATTTTTTTTTTTTTTTTTTGAGGCAGAGTCTTGCTCTTTTGCCTGGGCTAGAGTGCCATGGCGTCAGCCTAGCTCACAGCAACCTCAAACTCCTGAGCTTAAGTGCTCCTCATGCCTCAGCCTCCCGAGTAGCTGAGACTACATGCATGTACCATCATGGCCGGCTAATTTTTCCTATATATTTTTAGTTGCTCAGCCAGTTTCTTTCTATTTTTAGTAGAGATGGGGGTCTCACTCTTGCTCAGACTGGTCTCGAACTCCTGACCTTGAGTAATCCTCCCACCTCGGCCTCCCAGTGTGCTAGGATTACAGGCGTGAGCCACTGTGCCTGGCCTCTCAGCCATTGTTTTAAGGAGAGCTGATTAGCAGACAGTTGGAGATTACATTTGTGATGCACACCTGAGACACAGGCATTAGATATAGATATTTTATTGTATTTAGATAATAGAGATTTTGGAATGAATGAGGAAAGATATATCCATTGGGATTTTTTCAAGTGTAGGTGACAGAAACCCATGTCAAATTGTCTTATGCTCCTACTGGGGAACAGATGGGCTCACATGAGTGAAAATGCCCCAGGTTTGAAGGGTTTCTTTCTGTGTCTTAACTCCACAGTCACTGTGTTGGCTTCATTCTCGGATGGGCTGTCCCTGTGTCATGGTAAAATCCCCCCCACCGACCCTGGCCCTAGGTTATACCTCAGTAACTTTTCTTGATTAGTAATTCCAGTAAAAGTCCCAAGATTGAATCTCTTTAGACCAACCTGGGTCACATGCCTGTCTCTGAACTGATCACTAAAAAATAAATTAATGTAAAAGCAACTTCCCATGCAATTTGGAGTTAAAAGCATACTTCTAAATTATGCACATCAAAGGAGAAATCATACTGGAAATCATGTGATACTTAGAACTCCCCATTCTCACCTCCCCATCCCTGGAATGCCCCATTCTG